ATGATAATGAATTCCTTCGGTATTTGTTCCAGCCTTCGGATAATGTATCTTTTCATTATTATCGACGTGGAAACACAAAGGAACAGCGCTAGTAAAACGCTGTCGCTTGCGCGTTGACAGCAAAGCTGAATTCACACTCGTACACGCGATGATATCCATGTGCAAACAGCAGGCGATAATTCATGCAAAAACATGATCCGAGGAAAATGCGCGCTGTGACGTAAGAATTTGTTATCGTTCCGCTTTTCTATAGATAGAAGAACCAGACGCGAAGATTCGTGTTGCTTGTTCGCGGCTGTCTCCAAGCACTGAAAGCCTGGAAAGCTTCACAAAATTTCATGGAAATTTTTGTCGTCTCTGCCGACTGTGTCGTGTACGAGATAGATAAATGCCGATGAAAGTGTAAAGTTGAACGGCTCGTCTTCTCCGTACATGTTTATTATTTTGCTATAATTGTATCGTATATATCGTCAATCGCGGTAATTAACTACGCGGCTGATTTGTTATAAAAGTAAGAGAGAGAAAGAAGTAGGCTCACGGTATTTCCTCTTCGCCTTCATCTTGCAGAAGGGTATCCTTTTCATGATGAAATTCTTCACCCCCATCTCTCGCCTCGAGGATCGATCACCTCGGTCCACAAAAAAAAAAAAAAAAAAAAGAAAAACTCGAATTCTCGAAACGAGAACACTTGTTTCACACGTATCAACCAACTGGTTCGTTCAATTCTGATAACGAGTCATTCTTTCCCCCGTGTGATTGAATTTTTGCACACTCGCGGATCAACAGGCCTGGTTACGGCCGTCGATTTCGATGGGGAAAACTTCTCAATTATCAGTCAATGAAAAATCGAACATGGCCGTTTAGAGCGTCGTTGCGCTGTTCGTCGCTCGGTGGTCAGTCGTTGTTTCGTTCGTTCGTTCGTTAGTCGCATCGATCGTTCGATCGATCGATCGAGAGAAGTGACGCGACGCGGTGAATCGAGGTGAAAACCGCGCGATAACCCGACCTGCCCCCTCTCGAACACAGGCGATCAGAGCAACCGATCTCATCCCCTGGATCTCGATCGATCGGCCACGGACGCTGCCGTTGATTTTTCGAGCATTCGTGCCGCGGCCACTGTTTGCGTTTGACTGTGATGCCGAACTCTGGGCTCCGACTCTACTCACGAAGAGGTGAATGGAGAGGGGAAGTGGTGCCTCTTCTCCTGTTCTTTCTTCGCAGCGACGGTGCACATTAGCATGTGTGCGTGTGCACGGTCGCCGATTTTCTTAATCGCTGTGTGGAAAATATATACGCTTCGTCCTCTCTCACTCGCTTAATCCGCTCCACTCGTGCAGCTTTTGCTTTTCGCAACAATGATCGATAAGGGCCCGACCTTGATACCCGCTCGGTCTTATCATCGCTCGTTTGCAGCGACTCGATCCACGTTCGGTAGAATTTAATTTGGAAATTTTTTTTAATTTCAGCTATAATTTCCTTATTCAGAGATTAGGAAATTTGTTTCTTCATCTACTAAGACTCGTCGTTCGAGTAATAATTCAGAGAGTTTCATTCGTGTTGTTCAATAAATTGTACACACATTCGAATTTGTAAGAATTAATACTTCATTGTTTTAATTCGAAAATTTTTTTCTTAATGGTAAGACATTTTTTTCAATAACGACATGACTCGTCGTTCGAACAATAATTTCCTTATTCAGAGATTAGGTGCATGTAATTTAGAAATTTGTTTCTTCATCTAGTAAGACTCGTCGTTCGAGTAATAATTCTCTTAATTCAGAGAGTTTCATTCGTGTTGTTCAATAAACTGTACACACATTCAAATTTGTAAGAATTAATACTTTATTGTTTTAATTCGAAAATTTTTCTCTTAATGGCAAGACTAAAATTTTTTTCTCAGTAACGACATGACTCGTCAGTCGAACAATAATTTCCTTATTCAGAGATTAGGTGCATGTAATTTGGAAATTTGTTTCTTCATCTAGTAAGACTCGTCGTTCGAGTAATAATTCTCTTAATTCAGAGAGTTTCATTCGTGTTGTTCAATAAACTGTACACACATTCAAATTTGTAAGAATTAATACTTTATTGTTTTAATTCGAAAATTTTTCTCTTAATGGTAAGACATTTTTTTCTCAGGTCGTTCGAGCAATAATTAATATTCAGAGATTAGGTGCATGTACGTAGTTTCATTCTTGCTTGTTAAATAAATTGTATCAGATTTAAATTTGCAAGAATGAATACTTCATTATTTATCGTTTCATAATCGTAGAAATATCTCGTCGAAGAAGGACGAAGGTTAGTTAAGTTCTCTAAATCTGCTATAGTTATGATATCCTGGTTTTCTAATCACTTCCTGAATCGAGTGAGCAAAAAGCTTCGAGGAACAAATCATCAACTGAGGAAGCTTCTTCTTCGAAGTAGAAAAATAACAAGCACGAGGTGACCAAATGATCTAGTTTAACCGCGGTTGCATTGAATCACGTACGATATGATCGCGCGAGCAAACGCGCAATCGGTGGATCGAAGAAACACGGTGTTTACATGCGCGAATCGAATTTTATACAATCTCGAACGTGTTAAAACATTCGTCGGCCGCGGTAATATTTTCACTCGAGCATCGCTTCCGCGCGTTTCCTGGTTGGCTGTTACGTTGTTACCGTAATCCATCCATCGCGGCGGCTCCATCGATCGCGCGCGGTCACTTTTTTAAATGGCCCCGGGGTTTTAGAGCTCGCCGGAGAGAACAGTTGTGACAGTTGTGCTCGCGCGATTAGGCCGTACGCTGACAGGTGCGCACCGCCATATGCGAACACCTTGCTCCGACAAGGTTGCACCAAAATGGTTTAGCGTTCCCGATGAAGTCACGTCATTGCCTTCCAAATCGAGTTAAATAGAGTACCTCTCGGCTGTCCGATCGGCGGACAGTTTTTCGCATGGAGACCCATCGTATATTTCCATCTTCTATCACTGACGTCTCTTCGATCTATCCGCCGCGTTGCCAGCAGCAAAGCTTTTTCGATATTAAACCGCGTGTATTTTCGGAACGTGGGATCGCGGTCTCGTCGCCGAATCGTGTCACGCGTTCGCCATTGCTGGTATTTCTGTACCGCTGAAAACCCCTTTAGCAATCGTTGCCCCTTTTCATTCTTTTTTTTTTTTTTTTCGTTTTTGTTTGCAAATGACAGGCGAGGATTTATAGGTTTCGAATGGGGAATCTATCGTAAATCACGTTGATACGATTGATTTCAAACATCTCGCGAGAACCTCCCTGATCTATCGTTTTCACGTTTTATGAAAATTATGGCACAGTGGCAAGAAACGTAATCTGTTTCGTAAAATCAACATCATAATCACGATCATAATTCTACGTAAGGAACATATGACGAGTCTAGTTGCTACGATTAGAAGGAAAATGTAAAGTGATTGAAGGAGGCAATAACCCGACGGATAATGAAGAAATTTCACGTTAGGAAAAAATTAAATCGAAAGGTACGAGCTGACAGGCACGTTTTTATTTTCAACGGACAGGCAACAGAATTGCGAATGATACAAAGTCGTTGATTTTATCACTCGAAAAAGTAGCAGCCGCAAAGGGAAACGGCAGAGCTTATGAGTTAAACAGGATGCTGTTCCCTGTTTCTTGTAAGATTTGATTACCATCTACAAGGTACACGACTTCGATATACTCGTCACGCAAAAGCGAAATTACGAAGATCACGGAATCCTCGCATCTTTTTTTTTTCTTTTTTTCTACTTTCTAAACATACTCGCGCGGAGCGGTTGCTATTGTTAACGTTTTAATAACTGGCATGCCGCTGCCTTTCGTTTCGATTCGACAACGTTCGATACTTCGATGAATCAAGTTCAAACGCGGAAAAATCGATCTTTTTTCTCTCTCTCTCTCGAAACGAGTGCGTTTTCAGCGAATTACGTTACCTGTGAAACGAATTACGTTACCTTGCGAGTTTCACGGGCTGCGATCGAGTTCTTAATGAAGCGTGTTAGCTCGATTCGATGCACTTTCGCGCGAAATCGACATCGGGAGAAAGTTGTTCTTCTCCATCAGATTGATGGGCCTTTTCTCGATCGAAATTCTAAACGCTTTGTGCAAATGAATTTCCAAGTCACTTCACTTTTAACACGAAACGTACCGGCATTTTACATATACCTATCTTACCATAATAGGGGTCGAATGACCCCTCGCGATACATAAGAATTTTTCTCGGTAAAAAAAATAAGCTAAGAGAAAAACAGAAATATAAGATAATATAAGAATTTACAAAAAGTCAGATTAGCGAATGAAATAAGAATGTACGATTTTAAAGTAGATTTTGAAAAGGGGTCATTTGACCCCGCTTACGGTACGTTTGGTGTTAATATACTCTAGAGATAATTCAGATCTCTTGATTGCCATTAAAATTC